GTTTTCAAAATGTGGCTCTCGCCTTAGAACCGCGCACATTGGATGCAAAAGTTTGCGAAAGTTTCACGGGTTGAGGGCGGGTCGTTTTGAACATGTGGCTCTCGCCTTAGACCCGCGCGCATTCGTTTAAGATATTACAAGAGCTTCACGCATTGAGGGCGGCTCCTTTTCAAAATATGGCTCTCGCCGTAGCGCCGCGCACATTCGTTTTCAACTTTTGCAATAGTTTCACGGATCTCCATGATCAACGTACAAGAAATTGTTTTGGCAGGGTTCAGGATTATGCGGGTGCAACAATAATGTTGATTCGCGGCGTTGAACTTCCATAAATAGCGCTCTGGCACGATTCAGGATCGACAAGAGGGAGCAGTCAGGTTGATACGTGGCGTTGCAATCCCGAGAGCAATGTGTGGTCTTCAAACGGTCGTCTTCCAACGAGGCAGTTCCCTCAATGGAAATGAACCGTTGTAGGGGCCTATGAAGGGGGAGCTTGGAGGGAGGATTCATTCCAACATTGTTCATGACTCTGTGGTTTACACTGGTCCTCCTCCTCCTCATTTTCCTCCTCCTCCTCCTCCTCCTCCTCCCCGCCGTAGCTCCCCCTCCCCGCCGTGGACGAGGACAAGCGGGATGAAGGGCAGTAGCAAGACGACATCCGGAAAAACCGCCCCATGGGGCCCGCTGCCCCTCCCGCGTGGCAGCGGCGCCCTCAGGCAAGCGCGCGGAGAGACCTCCCCGGCTGGCGACGTCGTCGTCATTGTCGTCGTCGTCGTCGTCGCCGTCGGCGGCGTCGGCGTCGTCGTGCACCTGGAATAGCGAGAAGGAGGCGGAGGAGGAGGAGGAAGAGGACTCTCAGACCCTCAGTGAGAGCATAGCCACCCAAGTGCCACTGCGCGAACGCACCAGTTTCTAGCTTTTTGCTGCTGGCGGCCCCGCGCACCGGGGCAGCGCGGCGTCCATCTGCCTGCCGCTCAGGAGGTAACGAGGAGGGTTTTCGAGGACAGAGTCATGCGTTGAAGACGGAATCCTTGCAGGCACAGCGAGAGACCCGTTTGATCAACCTCCCCCAGTGGCGAAGGCCGCGGGGGCGGGGCTGCGTCGCTCTCGACCCTGAAATCAACATCAGCAGGAGGAGTGCACCGAGCCTACCAGAAGAGGCACATATGACGATAATTCGCCTGCCCAACGGGCCAGGGCGTGCTAAGATCTCCGGTACCTGGTTAACAGTATTTCTAGTTCGCGCGCGCGGGGCGGCCCCTGGGGGCCCCCGGGCGAAAAGTACCCCGGCAAGGTCCCGGCAAGTCCCCGGCAAGTCCCCGGCAAGGTCGGGTCAGAGATGCCGGAGTTCTGTTTCGGAGTCCAAGAGGGCTCCAGATCGGTCCAAGAGGGCCCCGAGAAGCTTTCTAGACGGTCCAAGAGAGGCCCGAGACGGCCAAAGATCGCCCGAAGACGCCCCAGATGGCCCCAAGACAGCCCAAGAGGCCTCCAAGACGCTCCAAGGGCCTTCCAAGAGGCCTCCGAAGAGGGCCCCAAGTTGCCAAAATCGTTGATTTTCATTGGTTTTTTCGATGTTTTTTTGCGTTCTGGCCTTTTCGCTTCCGGACGCTCCAAGAGGGCCCAAGAGGCCTTCAAGACTGCTCCAAGACGGCCCACGAGGCTCCCAAGACGGCCCCGGAGCGGCCCAAGAGCGCCCCCCAGACGGCCCAAGTGCTGCCCAAGGCGGACCAAGAGGCCCCAAGACGGGCCCAAGAGGGGCTCAAGAAGGGAACCGAGAACTGAAAAATCGAGCCCTCCGCCCCAGAAGGCGCCCAGGACCCCGAAAGAGGCCCCAAGAGACTCTCCAAGACACCCCCAAGACGCCCCAATAAGCTCCCGTGAGGCCCCAAGAGGACCAACAACGTCAGGCCCCAGGCCCCAAGAGGACCAACAAATACCGCCAAGAGCCCGCCGAAAGCCTCCCAAGGGACCGTCACGAGAGCTCAGGAGGCCCCCTGGAGGCCTCCCGAGTTCTCCAAGAGGCCTAAAAAGAGGCGCCAAGAGGCCCCAAACGGCCCCACCGAGGCTCCAACAGGCCACGAACGAGCAAGCAAACGCCTGCGATGGCACAATACGGGCCGGCGGAATGAGCGAAGCGATTAAATAATACCCTTCCCTCGTCGCTGCAGCTGGTTTCGCCTCAGGAGAGGTCCGTGTCGTAGCGGCATACGTATAATATTGTTCTCCCACCCTCGCTCCCGAGGCTTGCCTAAGAGAGAAGGAGGGGAGGCGGGGGAGGAGGAGGAGGAGGAGGAGGACGAAGAAGAGGAGAAGGAGAAGGAGGACGAGGAGGAGACAACCCGTACAAACAAACAAGGTATGAAAGGGCAGCGCAAGGAGGGGGAGGAGGGGGAGGAGGAGGGTGAGGAGGGGGAGGAGGAGGAGGACCCTGACATCCTCGCGTCGCGAAAGCATCACATCGAAATGATCTTGACAATTTTCGACCTCTGGGGGCCCTCACGGGGCCCCGTGTGCAGATCTGGTTCGGAGCAAGCCTGAGCATGGGGATTCGAGCTTACAAGAAGAGTGAACGAGGTGCTTTGTAGGGCCCCACCCATATGTGCACTACCGCCTTTCTGGCCCTAGCGCCCCCTCGCTTGCGCTTAGAGGCGCGGGGAGACAAGGAAGCTCGATGGGTCGAGCTTGAGCTTTCGGAGTTCAAGGAAAAGATCGAAACGATAGACGCCACTGCGCAATTCTGCATACCACTTGCATGGTAGCGGAGCTTCGTGGTCGACACGAAGTTTGTGTAAAGACCATCGAGGAAGGGTGCCAAGCTGGGATGGAGATCCGAAGACTTGGCGAACCTACAGGAGGAAGGCCCTCCAGTACAAGGAGGGCACCAAACGTGAGGAACGGCACCTGTGCGGCCCGAGGCTCGAGGCGAAGCTCACGGGCCGGGCTGAAGTGGCGGTGGGGCGCAGCAAGCCTGGATGGCTATCGCGGGCTGGCAGCGTAGAGCGGCTCCTGGCATGGCTAGAGCGACGGTGCTCACGTCAAGCCGCCCCAGACGTAGGCCAAATGCTGGAGATTTTCCTGATCAAGACGAAACGCCGGAATATGGAGCCCATGCAGCAATGGACCGACCGCTTCGAGACAGGCTACCAGTACCTGGGGCGCGCGCTGGCGCGCGCACTGGGGCATGCAGTCCCAGCGCCGAGCTCGTCGTCGGGAAGAAGGCCAGAGAGACCATTCAGATGGATCCAGGTCGAGAGGGGATGGCCATGGGACGGATTCGAATGGAAGTGGGAGTGCACTGACGGTCTGCCCGACGACGCGACTGAGACATCTCAACACTGGAGTGCTGCTGACCCAAACGCCGAGGCCGAGGAGGAGCTCGGGAGTATCCCGGAGGTCTTCCCAGCGATCGTCCTCGGCTGGCTGATGCTTGTGCGGTCTGGCCTCGACTCCCGCGAGCGCGCGGCGATCATGGCCGCGACGGGAGGCTCACTGGACGTCAACCTGACTCGCGAGAAGCTGACCTCCAGCTGGGAGGGCGACGACTTGGCGGAAAGGGACGGACACTCCAAGTACCCGAGGGCGTGCGCGGCCCAGCTCGGAGAGGATAGCCGGACATGGCTGGATGGCGCAGAGGACGAAGCAGATGCAGGCAGTGTCGCAGCTGATCGGGAACCTCTAGAGCCACTCGCGGAGGAGCCAGACCAGGTGGAGGCCACCGACGAGGACATCGAGGCGTACCTGGCTGCGCAGCACGAAGAGGCGGAGGCACTGGCGGCGCCCCACGCTGCCCAGCGCACCCTCCGCCAGGCCCGCGAGGCGTGGGCGGGCAGCCGCCTGAGCAGAGGCTTCCACCGTGGAGGTCGGCCTGAGGGCAAGGGACCTGGCCGTGGATTCCCGGCCGGATCACGTCGGCCGATGCCTCCCCAGTATGGCGCCAGGGGCCAGGTCTTGCCGCGAAACTAAGGGCAGAAGAAGCGTGCTAAGGGTGGCGGCGCTCACGGGGTACAGGACTGCCAGGATCGCCACGACCCCCGGCTCGAGCCCGGGGCGGCGGGCCCGCCAGAGGCCAGCGCGAAGGTGGCGAACTGCAGGAAGGAGCTGGAGTTCAACCTGGCGGCGTCGATGGTTGCCGAGCAGGAGTCTGGGGACTCGAGATGCGAAGCGAAGTTTGCGGACCAGGCGACCCAAGAGGGCAAGTGTATTGTCGACCTAGGCTGCGCGGACGCCATGGGCGGTGAGCGTGCGCTCGGCATCTTGGCCCGCAAAAACAAGGAGAAACACAGCGACACGAGGCTGCTGGAAATGAACCGGAACTACCGGCCAGTCTACAACTTCGGGAACGGCGAGAAGGAGCGAGCTTACGGCCAGGTGAAGTTCGGCATCACTGGCGGGAACATGGAGGGTGGCATCTCCATCAACGGCTTCGCGAAGGACGCCCCGATCCTCGTGTCCAAGAAAGTGCTGGAGAAGCTGGGAGCCGTCGTGGACCGTGACGCGGGAGTAGCGGTGTTCGTGAAGCTGGCCCCGGGGGTCCCGATCCAGCTAGAGGAGTCCCCGCACGGCGCGCACTACTACGTGAGCCTGGTGGACGACCTACTCGAGCAGAAGGTACGGGACCCAGCCAAACTGCAGAATTTCAAGATGATATGCAATCACCTCTCTGAGTGGGGCACGGCGTGCGTGGCGGCATGCCAGGGGCAAGACCTCGGCCCAGACGGATGCGCAGAGCGAGTCTGATCATGCATGGACCGATCATCATCTGCTCCTCTCGGCGGCGTCAACCCCAGCTCTCCCCAGGACGGTGGTCGGAACACACAGTGGGAGCCCGGGCGCGCCCGCAGACGCTCACGTGCAGCAACCAGCAACTCCTGATCCTCCGGATCCTACATGTACCCGGCCAAGGGCCGTCGATGGCAGAGCGATGCGCTGGGGCAGCCTCCTCCGCGGGGCCGTGCCGCTCACCTGCGCCAGGGCGATCTGCCAGTGCGGCTCGAGCGCGCAGGATGCCAGCGCCACGCAGTGCGGTGCAGGGGCTCCACAAGGCGGAGGTCTCACAACTACTCCAAGAGTTTGGCCTGCCCCACAGCCCGGCCTGGAGCGTGGGCGAGCCGAAGCAGATCCTGAAGGAGAACATTTTCCCGAAGACAGAGACGGCCGCGCAGATCGAGATGAAGGGCCCCAACTCCATGAAATGGCCCAGCTGCTCGCGAAGGCGACGGAGGTCGGAGCCCACGCGACGCCAGGCATGACAAACCCTTCGCTAAAACTCTCGATCCGCAAGGCGATTCTCCAGAAGCGCCCGCCGGAGCCGACCGACTACATGGGCTTCGGGAAGCACGGCGCGCTGACGTACCAGCAGGTCCTGAGGCGGTACCCTTCCTACGCGGCCTGGTGCCAGGCAGAGGGGAACGCTGGGGGCAGCTGGGAGCTGGCCAGGTTTGTCTCGCGGCTCAACGAGCAGGAGGTAGTCCACGTGAGGGATGAGATGACCAGGGACCCTGGGGAGGCCCCGATGGAGCCTCAGAAGGCTCGAGGGGGCGCGAGGTCATCCCGCCGAAGGACGACGGACGTGATGATGGAGGACGAGCTCGAGGAGCAGGAGAGGCTGGAGGCCGCAGCTGAGGAGGATAAGAACGCGAACCAGTTCATCCAGCAGCAGATGCTGACCGCCCTGAGCCAGCTCAGCCAACGACTGGAGAAGCTCGAGGGTCACGACCAGGTGGCGCAAGGGAAGCACGCGCACTGGGAGTGGCCCATCAAGTGCGAGGGCTGGGGCCACAGGATGATCAGGCAAATGATCGAAGACTGCTCGATGACAGTGGTCAAGGTAGCCGGGTGCCAACTCGGGGTGAAGAACGAGAAGGGCCAGCCCCTGCTCAAGGAGTGGCTGATCGCCGCGACATCCCCGAAGAGGGCGGCCAGGATGGCCATGGAGTGTCCCGGGGACCACAAGCACGGCGAGCTCGCGGGAGGCAGCCTCGCGGCGGCCACGAGCTACTACACGGACGAGTTCGCGAAGAGGGCAGTCTGGGCGATGATCGAGGAGGTTTCCCCAGACTACCGCGAGTTCTTGAGGTGCCTGGCGGAGCCCGAGGTGCCGGAGGGACAGGCGCTGGCCGCTGGGAGAGAAGAGACGTCAGCGGGCGCAGACCCGAACTCGAAGGAGCACCCGCAGATCATCCGATGGCTGGCATCCGTGCACCGAGGATCAGGCCACAGCTCCAAGACCGCTATGCTGAACGCACTCAGGCGGAAGGGGGCGAGCCAGCCGGTGCTGCAGGTGGCCCAGGACTTTTCACTGTGACGCGTGCGAAGAGGCTAAGCAGCGCCGCCCCACGCACCCGCCAGTCAGCCTCGAGGTTCTCCCCCCGAAGTGGACGCACATTCAGGCTGACCAGTTCGAATGGGAGCACCCCCGCAAGAAGATCAAGTCAAAGTTCTCGCCCATCATCGATGAGAACTGCAGGGTGCGGGTCAGCAAGCTGCTCCACCACATGGTGGGGGAGGACCGGCACCGCAACCCGGTCTGGGCCGACCTCGAGGATTTCTACGAGGAGCGCTGGCCGCCAAATTTTGGCAAACCGCAGAGGGTGAAGGTGGACCCTGAGGGCTCGTGGATGTCCAAGCAGGCCGCTGACTACTTCGACTCTGACTCCGTCGGGTACGAACCGATTCCAGGACAAGCCCACTGGCGAGCCTCCCTTGTAGAAGAGGCGATCCAGGCCACGAAAGGGACCATGGACCGGCTTGTCGCGGAGAACCCCGAGATGTCCACCGAGGAAGCCCTGGCCGGGGCGGTCGCAGCCGGGAGCGCTCGAGAAGATGTCCGAGGCCACTTCCCTCTTCAAAGCGCCCTGGGAAGGGCACCTGACTTGGACGGCCATTTCTTCGAGAGCGACTTCGGCGAGTTGCCCTGCGTCGAGGCCCAGCGCGTTGACCAGGAGCACGGTGAGAACTACGCGAGGATGTACGCGGCAGAGCAGGAGCACCTGAGGCAGGTCTACATGCGGCGCATCAGCCGAGCCGAGAACGCGAAGAACCAGGCGCTCAAGTCCGCGGCGCCAGGCACGTGGGCGCGCTACTTCCGCAAGGAGAAGGGCGAGACCAAGGGCCGCTTCAAGGGGCTCGCGAGGGCGTTGGCCACAGAGACGGCACGCCCTGTGGACGGCGACCTGGGACAGAGCGAGGCACTGCACCCAGGGCGCCCGGGGTCAGTGGTCTGGCTGGTTCGGGCAGGCCGGATCATCAAGGTGGACCTGTGCCAAATCCGAGCTGCCTCCGCCCGAGAGATCGCGTGCGCCGAGCTCATGGGAGGCAAGGGCGCCCCCTGGACCATCAACACCTTCATGAACCAGGCGATGCGGCAGGAATACCTGGACTTTTCCTTGCACGATCCCACGGAGCACGATGTGGAGTTCGCCACCTGGGAAGGAGTTCCTGATTCAGCATCATATCTGAAGAGGGTTCGCACGACAGAGCTCTCCGAAGACAAGGGCCCCCAGGTGACCCCAAGGGATCGGCCTGCCCCTCCCGTGCGGAAGCAGATCCCCAAGAAGGGGCAGCATCCTGGAGGCGCTGCAGACCGGGCCAAGACGTCCAGGGCAGCAGTCGCTGAGAAGAACCTGAAGGAGCAGGCTGCACTCACGGCCAAGGAGACTCCTGATGCCCTAGCATTTTGGGCACGACAAGGAACATCCCTGGAAGTCTCGATGGGGCCACCCTCGCTGGCAAGGCCTTGAGGCAGGCCACCAGGCACATGGGCACCTACATGGCGAGCCAACTGAGAAAAGGGAAACGCGAGATCTCGGAGCGGATCCTCACCCCGGACGAGCTGGACAGGTTCAACAAGGCGAAGGTCACCGAGGTAAACAACTATATCATATCCTCAGTCCTCGAGACCCTGCTTCCTGGAGTCACGCCGCCACACGAGGAGGTCATGCGTATGAGGTGGATCCTGGAGTGGAAGATCGACGAGAGCACGGGCGACAAGAAAGCAAAGGCACGGATCGTGGTCTTGGGCTACATGGACCCTGAGTACGAGCACCGCCCGACCAGAGCTCCAACGATGACACGTACTTCCAGGCACCTGTTGCTGCAAATGATGGCGTGGCTAGGCTTCAAGGGGTACAAGGCAGACGTGACTGCAACCTTCACCCAGAACCGCGAGATCCAGCACAATCTGTTCGTGATGCCCGTGAAGGAATTGGCTATACGGCGCTCGGACTACCCGAGGGTGTCGCCATGAGGCTCTGGAAGGCCGTGTACGGGCTCGTCGAGGCAGCCATCGAGTGTTCATGACGGTGAGAGGCGCTCGCGGAGTTTGGCTGGGCCCAGATGAAGATGGACCCGTGCGTCTGGGTGCTGCACGGCGACGCGCACGGCCGGGACAACAACTTCACCAAGGAGGCGCTGCAAGAGTTCATTGATCCAGAAGTGCTCAACGAGCTGGTCGCAGCGAAGGGCGACCTCGACATCGTGGCGGTCGCCGGGTCGCATGTGGATGAGTCCCTGCTGGGTGGCAAGGAATCCGATCCGCGATGGGTCAAGGCTCGAGAACATATTCAAGGGCGTTTCAAGTGGAAGACGTGGGAGACTGAGGAGTTCATGCAGACTGGAGTGAAGATCAAGCAGCAGCCCGACAGGAGCTTCCGCATGGACCATAATGACTATGTGACAACCATGGAGAAGGCCTTCCGAACTCCCGAGCGCAAGAAGAACAAGGACGCAGAGACCGCCGACAGGGAGAAAGGTCAGCTCAGAGCAATCCTGGGGGCCGTCGGCTGGCGCTCTGAACAGTCTGGCCCAATGCATTCCGCTGACACAAGCCTGCTGTTGAGCACGGTCCCCTCATCAACGGTGCAGACCATCAACGAGACGAACCGGCTGGTCGACCGAGTGAGAGAGTGTGCTGGCCTGCCGCTGGTGATCCACAGCCACTCCCAGGCCCAAGTGCTGGTGCCGATAGAGTGGTCCGACCCATCTGATTCGAACCGGCCCGACGGGAAGTCCACCAAGGGCCTGATTGCAGGCATGGCCCCTCTGAAGATCCTCAAGGGTGACGAGACAGACGTGAGCCTGGTGTCGTGGAAGTCGGGCAAGATCGACCGAGGCCGTCGCAGCTCCGTCGCCTGTGGGACCCGGTCTGCGGTGGATGCGGAGGACGAGCTGTTCGGCATCAAGTTGCAGTGGCTCGAGATGCTCGGCAACTCCATCGACTGGCGTAACCCGGAGGACACACTGGCCAAGCTGCCAGGGGCCGTCGTGGTGGACGCCAAGGGCCTGTATGACAAGCTCCAGACCACAGTCTACACCTTCCGTGGGAAGAAGAAGCGGACGGACGTGGGGGCGATGTCGCTGAAGGAGGGGACCCAGGCCGCCAACAACTGGATGCTCTGGGTCCATGGCGATGCTCAGCTGGCAAACTCTCTGACCAAGGGGCACGAGCCAGGGCAGCTGAGGATGTACTTCAATAGCGGCCCTCGCTGGAAGCTGGTCTACGACGCCAAGTACCAGAGTGCACGCAAGCGGAAGGCAGCAGGGATCCTTCCATTCGAGAATGTTCCACAGGAGGTCGTGAGGAGCTCAGAGTCATCGAGGGAGCCAGCCTCTGGAGCAGCAAATCGGGAGCTTCCCGATTACGAGGCCCTCTCGAGCGAGGATTCAGACGAAGATAACATGCTCAGCTTGGAGGACCCTTAACCGTGCAAATCTGGTTCGGAGCAAGCCTGAGCATGGGGATTCGAGATTCTAAGAAGAGTGAGTGAGGTGCTTTGTAGGGCCCCATCCATATGTGTACTGCCGCCTTTTTGGCCCTAGCGCCCCCTCGCTTGCGCTCAGGGGCGCGGAGAGACAAGGAAGCTCGATGGGTCGAGCTTGAGCTTCCGGAGTTCAAGGAAAAAATCGAGAAGATAGACACCACTGCGCAATTCTGCATACCACTTGCACCGTGGCCGTCAACAAAAACGTCTCCGTATAAAAATCCAGTCGCGGGGAAGGGTTCTGGATCTCCGGAGGTCCACGTCGTGAAAGCATCACGACGTCGGAATTCTGAAGGGCATATCATGGTCCCCGCCATGAGATATTGGTCGCCCCGGAGGTGAGACTGTTGGGGAAACACATGTTATCCTGTGTAGCTGGGGGAGACCATTGATTGTTGTCGGAGTGGCTGATGAGGAAGGGGCGACGTCGTTGCTTTGATCTTAGGGGGCGGCAATCGTTCATGTTCTACTCATCCTCCTCCCCTTCCCCACCTGCCTCCTCGTCGTCCTCGTCGTCGTCGTGCCTTTGATCCGCCTCAAGACTCTCTGCATCCCAATCTGCCCGTCCCCCTCGCTGCCGCCACGCCAACTCCCAGCCGTCTTCGCAGCCACATTCTCCTGGGGCTCCTTCGCAGCAAGGCCAGCATCCACTCGAGAACGGCAGATCTGGCGTCGACGCTCGGGCAAGTGTTGGAAGAGGATCTAGGCGGTCGCAGCTGGGACCAGGCAGTGCGACCAACCAAGTGACACCAAGACTCCGAGGAGGAAAGACAGAAAAGCGGACAAGAAAGACACACAACACATATGCCGCTGCGTGCGTATTACCGGGCCGCTCGGTACGTAGATAACCACTTGTACAGAAATCGATGGCTGTCGTCAGGGGTGCAATTGGACGCCTGAGGATGCACACTTCCTTCTGCACCCACCAAAGAAGCAACTTCTGGCGAAAGGCAACCATCAACATGCGTGACACCCACAGAGATCGGGCAAGCCTCTTTGGAACATGCTATAAGTTGGGATCGTTCTGTCGCGTTCTCTTCTGGCTTGCTTGCGGTCAGGTGTGAACACGCCACTTCGGTGCATTTGGCAATCGCGATGTTTTGCAAGCTTCTGGCGTAATTCAGAGCCAGCTGACGTTGCTCTGGCAAGGCCAAGAACAGGGACTGCAAAGGCCTGAAATCATGATCATTGCCACCTCCAGCCAAAGCCAGCGCGGGCATGTCCTGCAAAGGACATCGGAACATCCTGTTCATGTGAAGGCAACTTTGACCTGATATCTCTACCTGGGCCCAAAACAATCTCACCATCCCCCACCACGTGACAAGTGGGTCCGCGTCGGCAAGCCCAAGTAAATCGTTTCGGACAAACCACATATTGTGCTCGCAATGGGGACATCTTTCCCTGGCGCCGAGAAGCTCGACTGAAACAAGGGAATACCCAGACTCATTCGATAACGTTGCCCAAACTGCATCAGCAGACGCACCGAAAATTCCATTGTTCGTAATATGGGGGAATGAATCTGGGAACGATGCCGAATAGCTCACTTCCCACCGGAACGGAGGAGGTATGTCTGCATTGATTTCTACGCTTATGACTTTTGGCCGAAAGCCTGCTTTCAACAGCGCGCGGACTACGTCCAGATCGACAGAATCAATATCTACCTTCAGGGCATCAACGTCCCTCGGCATGTTGTTATCCTGCATCGTGCCAGCCACAGTGCTCGGCATCGCTCGCCCAATGTGCATCTTGATGCCGCCACTGGTATTCCAAGGAGCCAAGTGCCTTTCCTGGAGGAGCAGAAGCGGCAAATACATACGTAAACTTTCGGAGCTCTGCGCTGATGTCTTGGATCTGCGCTGGACCCCCCTCCCTGGCGCGCGGAACGCGCCAGGGGTGGCGCGGAATGCGCTACCAAGGCCGGCGCGGAATGCGCTGCCAGGGCGGCCCGGAGCAGATCCAATAAGTCCGCGCGGAACTTCGAGAGGTTATGCTTACGCAGTTCTCTTCTTCGAAATCCAGCGCAGGTCGCCAGTATTCATCGCCCTCCACCACCAAGCCGCGGTATCCCCTCTGACTGAAGAGGCTATAGGTCGGGTCGCGCTCCCGTCCGTCATTCGCACCTTCACCTCCTCTTCTTCCTCCACCTTCCCCTCCTCCTCCTCCTCCTCCTCCTCCTCCTCCTCCTCCATCCCGAGACCTCTGACGCATTGAAAAAACCGTGTTTCCATAATTGTCAGCCTCTGGCTGCCCTCGCCGGGCCCAACGACTGTCAAAAACAACTCAGGATACCAAACCGGTCCAGGGACCCCGCATTTGAAAACAAAAATACATTGGATCCATGGGTCCTTCTCATCATCGCCTGCCTCGGCCTGGTCGTACTCCTCCTCCTCCTCCTCCTCCTCGTCTTACTCCTCCGCGCCGATGTTGATGGCGAAGCGGTTCAGGGCGCTTGCAGGCACCAAGGCGTCCAACAACAAGGCTGGAGGGCAAAGCGTCCAGACACCTCTCCCTCCCCAATACTACCTCTCGATATGCCTTCCTCATCCCCGCTCAACTTTGCTCGTTCCCTCCCTCCTCCTCCGGCCTCCTCCTCACCAATTCCTCCTTCCCCCTCCATCCCTCGTTTCCTACATATCTCACTCCTTCTGTCGCTCCATCCTCCGCCTCCCCCTCGTCCTCAACCTCGACATTCCTATCGTCGTCGTCGTCGTCCTCCTCCTCCTCCTTCTCCTCCTCCTCCTCCTCCTCTCCATCCCCCTCCCTCGTCCCACTCCCCTTTTCCTCCACTCCTTCCCCCTGCCTTTTCCTTCCTCAACTCATGGTCCTCGCCCATAGTTCCCCTTCCTTCTGACTACCATCGCCACCCATGCCATTCCCCCGACCATCATCATTATCAGTATTATTATCATCATCATGATCATCAACAGCAGCATCAACATCATAACCACCACCATCATGATCATCATGAGCATCATGATCATCATGATCATCATGATCATCATGACCATCATGATCATCATCATCATCATCATCATCATCATCATCATCATCATCATCATCATCATCATCATCATCATCAGTATCATCATCATAATCAACATCATCGTCATCAGCATCACCATCATCATTACCGTAATCATCATAGTCACCACCATCAGCAGCATCATCATCACCATCAATCCCATCATCACCATCATCATTATCATCGCCATCACCGCCAGCAGCCTCATCATCATCAGCAGCATCAGCATCAGCAATATCAAACTCCTAATCAGCATGATCACCAGCATCAGCATCAGCAGCAGCATGATCAGCAGCCTCATCATCATCACTATCGCCATCATCATCACCGACAGCATCGTCATCATCAGCAGCATCGTTATCATCATCGTCGTGAATCAATCGACCAATCAATCAATCAATCATCCAACCAATCAGTCAATCAATCGATCCATCATCACTCGGCCTCATCGTCACCACGACCACGCCGCAATCATTCTCATCAGCAACAACAGCACCGCCCTCCTCCTCTCCATTTTCCTCAGCCTGTTCCCCTTCGTCACCAACCTTACGCCCATCCTCCAACTGCGTTCATGTTCTCCCTCCTCGCTCCCATCTCCATTCCTCCTCCTGACTCGTCCTTTCCTCCTATCCACCTTCCCTTCCTCCCACAATACCTCCCTCCCTCCATCCCTTGCCCGTCTTTCCCCCTCTCCGTTGTTTTCCCAATTCCGCCTTAATACCCTTTCGATTTCCCTCCGCCTCCTTTCGTCCATCCCGTGCGTTGCTCCTCATCCACGTGTGTTGTAGTCCTCGCCCTCGTCCTCGTCATCGACGACGCCGTCCTCCTCCTCCACATGCCCATTGTCGTTATCGTCCACCGCCTAATTCCTATCACTCCTGCTACTCCCCGCCTCCCTCCTCCTCGTCCTGCTCACCGTCGTCGTCGTCCTCGTCCTCATTACCCTCAACCTTTCCTGCTGCTTACACTATTGCCACTGCTCCTCCTTCTCTCTCTCCGTTTCAATACGTAGTCCTCAGTTCCTCCTATCGGGCCGTCGGTCCTCCTCGCTCGCCCTCGTTCGCTGTCGCCCTCTCTCCTCGTGTGTCCCCTCATCCACCTTTCTGTCTCCTCCTCATCTGGATGTCTTCTCCCCCCCGTCCTCTCAATCTGGGCACCCCTCGCGTCTCGCATCTGGTATGCCACTTATCAGTCTTGTCCTCGTCGGTGACCTCCTCCTTGTCCTCCCCGTTGGATTCCTCTTCCTCCTCCTCCTCACAACTGCCGCCACGAAGCCACCCTCGTCGATCCCCTCCTCCTTCGTTGTTCTCCTCCTCGTCCGTGCCGTCATCGTTGCAGTCCTGCTCCTCCTCCACCTCCTCCATCCATCACGTTCTGTCTCCCTTTCCACTTTCTGGGTAGTCGGAGCCAATCTGGCGCCAATCTGGCAGGCCCAATCTGGCAAACGCGGGCAATCTGGCGAGGGAGCCAACGCGAATCCAGTCTGGCGAATAACCCAAATCATCCAGTTTGGCCGGGCCAGATTGGCCCTTGGGGCCCAATCCAATCTGACAGTCTGGCCTTCGACTACCCAGACTTTCTTTCCGCCCACTTTTGCATATCCTCCTCGTGGTGCCCCCCTCCCCCGCCCTGCCGCTTACACACACACACACACACACACACACCTCCGCCTTCTGCAATGCTTTCGTCTGCTCCTCGCCATGTTCGTCTGCTCTTCCCATCCTCTCCCCGTGTTGATCCTCCTCCTCCTCCTCCGTCTCCCTTGTCCCTCAGCCCTCCTCCTCCTCCTCCTCCTCCTCCTTCTCCGTTTCTTCCCAATCTCAATCCCCGCATTCCTCCTCCTCCTCCTCCTCCTCGTCTTCCTCCTCGTCCTCCTCCTCCTCGTCCTCCTCCTCCTCCTCCTCCTCCTCCTCCTCTCTCTCTTCGATCCGCTGTCTTCCTTTCCACATCCACATCAACCCGCTCCTCCTCCCCTTCCTCATTTCTTAGGCAGGCTGCTTGGAAATAATTCGCTTTAGCGTCAGAAAGCCTGCACACTGCTGCGTGCAGGAGGAAGATGGGAGGTTGACGATGGGAGGGCGAGGCGGAATGCACACTGAGGAGGAAGGACGAGAAGGTGGATGAGAAGGAGGGGGACTACTAGTAGGGCAAGGAGGGCGACAAGGGGGAGAGGGAGGAGGCCTTGTTTCGAGATCATGGAATCCAAGACTGCAGCAACGACGAAACCAGCATTCCCAAACACTGCTCCAAGATATACCGCGAAAGGATTCTGCGGCGAGGCCTGCCGAGCCTCTGCCACGGGGAGGAGGCGGAGGAGGACCTGGAGGAGACACGCGAGCGGAGAGGCAAGCGCTCGCGCCGCTGCTGCAGGCGCCGCCGATGGCCCACGCCCGGGCCGACGCAGCGCGGTACCGACGCTGCCAGCCTCAACGCTCGAGGCGCAGCAACCTCGTGCCGACTCGGCGCCTGCAGGGCCTTCGGGGGCCCGGGTCGGCCAGGGACCACTCTGCGACCCCCGGGCGGCCGCGGAAGCGCTCCCAGACTGGGTCGGCGGAGGGCCAAGCGAATCTGCGGCCAGGCTGGATTCGGCCAGCTGCACACGGCCAGGCCGGATTCGGCCTGGGTCGAATTCAGTTTGGCCGAGTTCGGCCTACACCCTGCGAAATGCTGAAGAAATCATGGGTTAAGAAATTCATACTCTCGGAACTTGAATAAAAACCCAACATGTCTATTCAAATCTTAGGATTTACATTGAAACGTTAAGAATAATCGAGACTCTGGCCGAAAACTTAAGTTTTCTTAAGCATCGCCTAGGTTGTACGTCATGATGCGGTTAGTTCAGGATGCGTTCTGGGAATTCTGGACCTTCTGGCGGCCCTCGGCCACTTGCCCTCGGCTGTGCGTCCCTGGCCGCGCTGGACAGAAAGGATGCATGAACAACTTATGGCTTCTCGCTCCTCTGATCCTTATGCCTGATCAGCGCCTGTAGCTCCACTGATGCCAGCCAGCCTGGGCGAGGGTTCCCATGTGTCTAGGCTGCCGCAACGCTGCGCCGATCAGCGCTTGCCGAGAGGAGGCCAGCGCCAATACAACAGCAGCCAGTCTCGAATTGTTGCCGTATCACGTGCCACGCGCGCACAACCTGGCTCAGGAACACAACCACTTTGTGCCTAAGGTTCACCGCCCGTGGCGGTAACAACAAGGTCCCCATCATGAATAGCTTTGCCCTCACACGCACCACGCGGAAGAACACCACGGCATCGGAAGGACATGTCCCCAGTCATTGCTACAGTGGCAAGTAGAGTGGGAGGGCTTGAAGATCAGCGGGGGTATCGCCACCAGCAGTGGCAGCGGTGCGCAAATTAACAAAATGAGCGCCACCAACCACACAAGATCACTAGTGGCGGTCGCAAGAACAGGGGTACAGAGCTATGCGCAGCAGCACGCATAAGTGCGCTAGCTAGAACCAGCATCAACAATAACCCAAGGAACGTAACTGACATTGTAACACGAAGCTCGTCGGGCGCTGCGCCACAAGCAACGGCCGCACGGCGCGAGTCAGCATGTTGAGGTGCGCCACAGCCTAGGACATCACCAACAGCAGCAACGCAAAGAAACCGATGACTGTGCGAAAACCACCAGGAACGGCAACACTATGCATGTCAACGCAATGAAACATCACCGCCATCCCGCACGTCGCTGGTGGCGGCGCTACGGGTAGACTGTGCATACGCTGCGTGCGCGGCGGCCCACTGGACCTCAGCACCACGGCGCGCTCCGATCGCGATGCCCTGAGGCGGCTGGCCGCCGGCCGCGAGCACAAGATGCACTACATTGGACGTTGCTCCCAGCGATACGCAGGCAGCACTGGATGCAGCAGAGAAACGTCGGATGCTATCAATGCCGGCATGACGGTTACGATTCCGTGCACGGAGCGGCGGCGCGCCGATGCCCTCCCAGGAGAGCCACCCCAACAATGCCATGCACATGCGAGAGAGAGGGAGAGAAAGAGGAGAGGAGAGGAGAAGAGAGGAAAGATATCAAACACAAAACCACGCAACCATTAACTTCGGGAAGTGCGCCAACATATTTCGGATCGGCGCAAGACCTGCTTGTCTGGAGCCCGGAACGCGCCATGGGCGGCGCTGGAGGAACCGTCACACTTCCGACCCAAGTAATCCGCGCGGAACTCCGACAATTGTTGTGTATGCCGATTCTGCTTGGAAAGGTGAAGTCGGGCCCCGCACCGAGCCGCATCGGCAATGCGGCGCGATCCACTGGCCCAAGTCTACCTCAGCCCCGAGTGGGCGGCCTGGAGAGAAAGGAAGGCAGAGAGAGAGAGAGAGACGGGCCAAGAACTCGAAGCTCGCCAAGTTGGTCACGCCCAGGCGGTCCTACACCAGCGAGTGGTGGAGGACCTCCAAGATCACCTTGAGCTCGCGCGAGGGCCCGCTCAGGCGCGCCACGACGCCGAACTGCTCGACCCAGTAGCCCCAGTGCGCGGTCAGCGAGAGCCCGGGCGCGTCGACGGATTCCAAGAACTCCGCCAGCGCCTCCGGGCCCCGGAACGGCCGGGACGGGTCCTCCTGCGGCCTCAGCGCGGCGATCACCGCGCTCAGCTGCACCCGCTTTCCCCGCGTCGGCGGCGGAATGGGGAGGACCCGAGGGTCGCGGCCTGGGCCCCGCCGCTTCTCGGCGACCCACTGGGGCTGGTCCTCGGGCTGGACGTTCTCGACCGCCACCCAGCCGAGCTCGTCGTCGACGAGCGCCAGGCGTCGCGCTCCACGAACCTGTCGGCGTTGGCCGCGAACCCCGCCTCGATCTCGTCGCCAAACCCCTCGACGGCGGGATCCGCAATGACCCAACGCGCCACACGGGCGCCAGGCGGCGCCGCTGGGATGGCGACGCCGAGAACGCGGGCGAGGTTCCGGCCCTCCAGCCGCAGGTGGTCCAGCGCGTCGGGCTCGAGCTCGCCGAACGCGTAGACGTTCCCCCGCACGCGCTGCAGGAACGGCGCGTTTCGCCCCAAGGCGACCACGAGGTGGGCCAACAGCTGCAGCATCAGGATCTCGCCGTCGGCCGTGGCGGCCACCCACTCCCCCGGCGCGTGGACGGGGACAAGGAGCAGCCTGTGGTGCCACCGAAACTTGTCGTCGTCGAAGTTGATGCAGACCTGGCTCGCGGCGACGTCCAAGGTCCGCGGGGCCGCGGCCATCAGGCCCGGAGGCGCGGAACCGCACCGGTCCAACGTCGTTACGCACGACCACCTCGCCGGCAGGGCCGCTGCTCTCGTCGGCGTGAACCAAGGAGGCGGCCGCGCGTCGGGCAAGCCGCCGCAGGCCCGCGAAGCAGCCGGCCGCCGCCGTCGCCAGCAGCAGGCCGCCGACCAGGCCGAGCAGCAGCCCGGCCGCGAAGCCCCAGCGGCCAGCCGGGGCGGGCGCCTCGCAGGCGGCGCCTCCTCGCAGGCCGCCGCTGGGCAGGCCGGGCAGGAGGCCTCGGCGGGGGCGGTCCACGCGACCGCCGGGCAGCCCGGGCACGGCGGGCAAGCCGGGCACGAGCCGCAATGGGGCTCGCACCGGAGCTCCGCCGGCGGACACGCCGGGCAGGCGGGGCAGGGCGGCGGCCGCGTCACCCAGGCGGCCCCCCGCTGCCCCAGTCAGGGCGCGGCAGCGCAGACGGCGCCCAGCATCCACCGCGGAGGCCGGGCCGGAACGCACTCCCCGAACGGCTTTTGAGCCAACACATCACCACGGGATCACTGCACCGCAAACTGATCGAGAGGCTCCGTTCTAGGAAAACGAGTCGAACGACAAAACGTAGTGTGCATACAGTGTAACTGTGGAAGGGGAAGCGGAGGAGAACGTTGGAGAGCGCACACGGGGAACACTCCGAAAAGGGAGGGTCCCCCCTTAGCTACCTGCCCTTGGCCTGCCCGAAGCCCCCCCCCCTCCCCCTGTTTTTTTTAGTCGAAGCCACTGCTGCCCCCCCCCCCTCCCCCCCTTTCGCGTTCCGGAACCTCCCCCCCCCGTCCCACCCCTTCCAAAGGGAGTGCGGGGCTTAGCTAGCCACCCCCAATTCGAGCCCCCCCTTAGCGGAAGCCTCCCCCCCCTCCCAAAAACGGTCCTGCTGTTTCCGGGGCCCACTAAGCCCAGGCTGACAACGGGCCCAGAAGAACAACAGGGTGGGAGGGGGGTCGCTTCCAAGCCGCCCCCCCCCCCCCTTTAGCTGGAGCCCACCCTTTTCAAAAATGCCCACCAGAGTGGGCGGGTGGAGGGTGGCTTCGGAAGCACCCCCCCCGGTTCCAAGGAAAAGGGGAGGGTAGCTTCAAGCTGAGGCCCCCCTCCCCTCTTAGTAAAGAGTGTTTCGCGGGCACGCTCTTTCGAACGTTGAGGTGTCAAACACAGGGGCCGATCTTCTGCTCGAGTCCCCCCCTCCGAGGGGCGTTTGGCAGGCTTGCCCCCCAGCGATAGCTCGAAGCTCACGAGCGCCAGGCGCCTCCCAGGAGAACTCCAACAATCACTATCATCCCTCTTGCTCCCTCCTGCTCCCTCATTGCTTCCGACTTCTGCCTCCTTCCTCCTTCGCTCCGCCTCCCTCCCTCGTTCCTCCTCCCTCCTTCACTCGTCTCCCTCCGTCACTCCTCACTTGTCCTTCATTCCTCCTCCATCCTTCCTCCTCCTTCTCTTTCTCCTTTTGCCCTCCTCCTCATCGTGCTCATTGGCCATCTTCTTCATTAGTGTTGTTGCTTGCCTTCCTCCTCCTATCTCGAATTGCCCTTCCTCTTCCGCCCCCTCCTCCTCCTCCACCTCCTCTCCCCAGCGTATGACGTACCTCTGCTGAGCTTCCCAGGAGCATACGAAAGTGGCGACAGTTGCGCAGATCGCAAGCCGCCCCCGGGGGCGGCGAGGTCCCGAGGTGGTCCGCGTATGACGTACCTCCGCTGGGTTCCCCAGGAGCACACGGAAGTGGCGACAGGTGCGCAGATCGCAAACCCCCCAGGGGGCGGCGAGGTCCCGAGGTGGTCCGCGTATGACGTACCCCCGCTGGGCCTCCCAGGATCCCACGAAATTGGCGACAAGTGCGCAGATCGCAAGCCCCCCCAGGGGGCGGCGAGGTCCCGAGGTGGCCTGCGTATGACGTACCTCCGCTGGCCCTCCCAGGAACCCACGAAAGTGGCGACAAGTGCGCGGATCGCAAGCCCCCCAGGGCACCACGAGTCCTCGGGGTGATCTGCGTATGACGTGCCTCCGCTTGGCTTCCCAGGAACCCACGAAAGTGGCGACAGTTGCGCAGATCGCAAGCCCCCCAGGGGGCGGCGAGATCCCGAGGTGGTCCGCGTATGACGTACCTCTGCTGACCCTCACAGGAGCACACGAAAGTGGCGACAAGTGCGCAGATCGCAAGCCCCCCAGGGGGCGGCGAGGTCCCGAGGTGGCCTGCGTATGACGTACCTCCGCTGGACCTCCCAGGAACCCACGAAAGTGGCGACAAGTGCGCGGATCGCAAGCCCCCCAGGGGGCGGCGAGGTCCCGAGGTGGTCCGCGTATGACGTACCTCCGCTGGGCCTCCCGGGAACCCACGAAAGTGGCGACAGGTGCGCAGATCGCAAGCCCCCCAGGGGGCGGCGAGGTCCCGAGATGGTCCGCGTATGACGTACCCCCGCTGGGCCTCCCAGGATCCCACGAAATTGGCGACAAGTGCGCAGATCGCACCCCCCCAGGGGGCGGCGAGGTCCCGAGGTGGTCTGCGTATGGCGTACCTCCGCAACAGTCTTGTTGCTCTCTTGAGTCTCTCTTGGGCCGTCTAGTTTCGCAGCCACCCAAGGCCGTCTAGTTTCGCAACCGTCTAGATTCTAGTGGTGATCTGCGTATGACGTGCGTCCGCTGGGCCGCCCAGGAACCCACGAACGTGCCGACTGTCTAGCAGATCGCAGCCGCCCCAGGGCACCGCGAGCTATAGTGGTGATCTGCGTATGACGTACCTCCGCTGGGCCTCCCAAGAGCCCCAAAAAGTGCCGACAGTTCCGCAGATCGCAGCCACCCAGGGCACCGCGAGCTATAGTGGTGATCTGCGCATGACGTACCTCCGCTGGCCCTCCCAAGAGCAATCCAAACTGCCGACAGTTTCGCAATCGCAGCCGCCCCAGGGCACCGCGAGCTAAAATGGTGATCTGTGTATTGCGTGCCTCCGCTGGGCCTCCCAAGGGCCGACGAAAGTGCCGACAGTTTCGCAGATCGCAGCCACTCAGGGCACCGCGAGCTATAGTGGTGATCTGCGCATGACGTACCTTCGCTGGGCCTCCCAGGAGGCGACGAAAGTAGCGACAGTTGCGCAGATCACAGCCCCCCCCACTGATCGCAACCCCTAAGCAAGGCCACCCAACAGACAAGACGGCGAGTCAGGAGTCAGGAACCAGACGGCAGGAGAGCACAGAAGGCAGGAGCGAGGAGGCGGGAGAAGGAGGGTGGAGATAACATTGCTGAAGTCAAAAAGAGAACCCAACACAGGAGGAGTGGGAACAAACACGCGCCGATCCCATGCCTGGGAGGAAGGAGGCATGGGGGTGGAGGTGAAGGAAAGACGGGGGAGAGAGGGAGGAGGACGATCATGGAAGGAGGGACGCAGGGAGGAGGTCGATGTTCAGGAGTAGGACGACGACAAGGATGAGGAGGAGGAAGAAAAGGGAGGAGGGAGGAGGAAACGAAGTCAGGGAAGGGTGCAGTAGAAATGGGGAAGAGGATGGAACAAGGAGGGGGGAGGAGGGAGGAGGGGTAGGAGGCGAAGGACGGAGCAAGACAGAGGAGGAGACTGAGGATGTAGCAGAAAGAGAAGTAACAATGGTTAAGAAATAGGGCACGATGACGATGATGCCAATGCTGATGATGTTGATGACGATGTTGGTGAGTATAAGATTAGCTTTGTTCTCTTTTCTGATGTTCCAGGCATGTTACGAACACAAATGAATCGCGCACGATGGTGATGACCCTTATGATGATGATGGTGATGATACTGATGATGATGTTGCTGCTGCTGATGATGATGATGATGATGATGATGATGATGATGATGATGATGCTGATGGTGATGATGATGACAAGGTCGGTGATGATGACGACAGTGCTGGTGATGGTGCTGGTGCTGATGATTCTGAGGATGCGGATGCTGATGCAGCTTAGGATGAGGGGGGAGCTGATGCTGATGATGATGATGCTGATGATGCTGTTGATGATGATGCAGAGGAGGACGAGACTCTGCTGAAACAGGGTCGGGGAGCGAAGCTCTCAATCAGCCGATAATGGTGAAACTGATGATGATAAAAAAACGACTGCCTCGACGACGAAGATGCTGATGATGTTAATGATGAAGATGCTGATGATGATGCTGGTGATGATGATGCTGATGATGCTGATGATGATGGTGATAATGATGATGATGGGGAGGAGGAGGAGGAGGAGGCGGAGGAGGAGGCACGAAGAGCTTGAAACCTTTGACCCCCCAATACCTCCCCCCTCCACCTTCTCGCCCTCCTCCTCTCTTGTGCTCTCCTTGGAAAGGCATCGGAAGATTGCAATATGAAACATCGGCGGATCTCCCGAACGAGCAGGGACGCGAAGGCGGAGGCGAACCGCCGCTTTTTCAACCCTCCGAAACATTCCTGTTCTCCCTACTATTATTCCTCCTCCCTCCCCCTCCCCCTCTGGAGACGAGGACAAGATGAGGACAAACACCAGATTGCGATACATACGGGATCTCTGACAACCAGCGGGGTCTGCAGAGTGTATCGGGCGCCGCGGCCGTTCCAGAGTGTTCCGAAACGACCTTGGATCGTTTTGGGGTCATTCTACGGTGTGTTTATCGTTCTGGGCCTGCCCGATCTCCTCCTCCACCTCCTTCTCCTCCTCCTCCATTCCTGTTCCTTATCCTTGTCGCACCCAGAAGCTGGTTGGAAAGGCCAGCCGGCGTTTCGCCGGGCAGTTCTTTCCCATCGATGAGCCTGAAGCTTACAAACTAGTAACAGCTTCACCCATGGAGGGAGGATCGATTCCAAAATGTGGTTCCCGCCTTCGCGCCGCGAACGTTAACTATTCTTACACTATTGTGAGGGAGTGTCATTTTCAAAATGTAGCTCTCGGCTTAGCATCTCGCCATTATTTTCAAACTTGTGCAAGTGCTTCACGGATTGAGGGCGGGTGGTGTTCAAAATGTAGCTCTCGTCTCAGCGCCGCGCACACTCGATGTAAACCTCTGCGAGAGCTGCACGGATTGAGGGCGGGTCAATTTCAAAAAAGGTGGTTCTCGCTTTTGCGGCGCGCGCATTTTTTTAAACGTTGTTGAAGTCCCAGGAAGGGTGTTTTGGCACGATCCAGGATCGTCGAGACGCACCAGTCAGCCTGACTAGTGGATCTGAAGTCCTCAGGATGATGTCTTGGCACGTTTCATGAATTTCACACGGTTGTCCCCAAACGGGGCGCCTCCCTCAGTGGAAATGAACACTTGTCGAGGCCTATGAAGGAGCTTGGAGGGAGAGCGAACTCCAACATCGTTGGTGAGTCTTGGGTTTTCACTGGTCCTCCTCCTCCCCCTCCTCCTCATCGCCCTCCTCCTCCACCTCCTGCCCCTCTTCTTCCTCCTCCTCCTCATCCTCCTTCTCCTCCTCCCCCCTCCTCCCACCTGCTCATTTCTCGTTCTCCTCCCTCGTCTTCCTCCTCCTCCTCCTCCTCCTCCTCCCTCCTCCTCTCTTGTTCGTTCTACGTGTGATTGTTTCATCGTCCTCCTCCCCCTCCTAATTACCCCTCCTTCCCAAGCTCCCTCCTCCCATCTCCTCCTCCTCCCGCCTCAACCTCCCCCTCCTTATCTTCCATCCCTTTTCCTGGTGAGTGAACCTGGAGCGGTCCGAAGTCTGGGCGTAGGCGCATTGTTTTGTATTGCTTTGCGTTGCTTGGCCTTGTTATCGGCGGCCCTGGGGGGTAAGTAAGAGGGGGCTGGCCTTCTCAGAAGGCTCGGAAGTCATTCGGCATTCAGAGAAACCCCGCCGCCTTCTGAGTGGGCGTGCCCCTTCTATCTCCCCCTTGCTCGCCGCCGGTGCTTGGCATTCCTGCACTGCCAGGCAGCAGCGAGCAAGACCAAGGAACCCGAGGAAGGTAGCAAAGAACCAAGACCAAGGAACCAGAGGAAGGCAGCAAGGAGCCATGACCAATGAATCCGAAGAAGGCAAGGAGGAACCAAGACCAAGGACACCGAGGAAAGCAGGGCGCCGCCTGTGCCAAACAACGCCGAACTGGGGAAAGACTCCCCCTTCCATCCGTTTTCTTGAATGAACAACTCCTCCCTGGGTTGGCCGGGCGTTTCGCCTGAGACTTCCTCACCACCTTTGATCCTGAAGCTCACAGTTCCAAGGATGGAGGGAGGCTGGTTTTCAAAGCCTTAAACGTTTCCAGAAGCTTCTATGATGGAGGGGGAGGCTTCAAAAAAAGGACTCTCGCCTTAGCGCCGTG